TCTAATAAAAATGTTAAACATTAAATGATTATTTCTTCATTTTGTTTGCCGATCTTGATGTAAAGTTGCGGTACTACTTATTATATGAGCAAGATTGTTGCCGTCTCTGAGAAATGTGTACGAGAGTGTGCTAATGAAGACTTATCAATGCTGATTTCAGTGTTTACTTTCTTCTACTGTTGCTCTGTTTGATAATTGTCTAAGCCAACCAGGATGGAACTATTGCATGGCACTTATAATCTTACTAGCTGTACCCGGCCACGCGTTGCTGTGGCATAGTTTGGCTAAATGGAAATGAAAGAAAATAGAAATCGCACGTGTCTAATACAATCATTGTCTGCTCAGATAAGAAATAATCTTTGATCTCCACCCCACCCCCCACCCCACAACTAAATCCACCTACTACCCTCTCCCTCATCAAAGGTTTTTGGAAAAGAAAGACAATGGAAATCGCACCTGTCTAATATAGTTAATGTCGCAATCATTCTATTATATAGAGATAGTCTGGTTTTCCAACTTTAGAACACGCACCATATAATTGTGTCTTTATATTAGTGGTCGTCTAAATGGTGCTATAAGCACGGTAACAAAAATGGTTATTTGGTTATCTCATGCTAAAGCTGTTTGTATTTTTATATTAGACGGAAGTAAAGCTACAACTGTACTTGTAAATAACAAAGTAAGTCGTAAAAAAAAAAAAAGAAAAGCGGAGGTAGCGTTAGTAAAATATAAACAAATTAGGTAATGAGAACTTGAAAATCACGTGTAAAGCTCTTTAAGTTCTTTTAAATTTAAATCATTACCCCCCTCCCCTCCCCTCTTCCACCGACTACTGCTCTCTCCCTCTTCGAAATATTTGAAAATCATTACCTGGCGATATTTTGTTGTTGCTGTAACTGACATTGACATCCCTGTCCATCTGGACTAAAATGGGGAGCAGGAATTGTAACAGGTAGTGAATGGGGCTAGTGTAATATTTACCACATCATTCTTTAAGTACCAGTACAACTACTAAAATAATGTCACTGCTATCTGTGTTACCATCGGAGTAGACAGAGAGTCGTGAGCCAGAAGATTTGGTTCCGCATGGCTAGTGCTGTCGCCACAGACTGGTCAGGTTAGGATGTATAATTTCACTGGCCGACAGAAGAACGCCATAACCTTACCGGCGGTCTTCACATGAGAGCACTATGGTGTAACAGCCCAACCACAACTATTACTGCTGCTGCTACTTTAAGTGGGTAAAGCAGTTACTGTGACCTAATGCTCTCTCAGTAAATGTCCCTACTACTGAGTCCTGATTAAAACACAGTTCAGAACCGCAGGCAATTGTTTTCTCGTAGACAGATACTCCAGATATATTAATGAAACGGCACAACGATAGAAATCGCACGTGTCTAACACGGGTAATGAAGTTAATGTCGCAGTCAATGTCTGCGCCGACGTCGAGATAGTCCTTGATTGCCCCCCC